CATGGCAGTGGGCCGTTGGCCCATACTAAAAAACTAAGGAAAGGAAGAACAGTGCAGGAGGCCTGTTGGCCTATACTAGGCGGGGTCCTTACAATTCATCCCAATAAGAAAACATTTGCCCAACCCCAATTTTCAATGCTACATAAGAATAAGCTCTGATGTGCATATGTAAGTCATCACTGGAGCAAAATTTACAGGTCACGTCTGAGCTAAGTACAGGTCACGTCTGAGCAGGTCACCTCAAAGCAAAGTACAGGTCACCTCTGAGTTAAAAACAGGTCTCATCTCAAAGCTAAGTACAGGTCGAATCTGTGCTAAGTACAGGTCCCCATCTGTGCTAAATACAGGTCCATCAATCTAGAATAGAATCAAATCAAACTTGAATATGCACGACTTTCACAATCTATTTCACTAACAAATTATTTGCCAAATATTATTTTAAAAGTTTCTCAAGAAAAAGCTTGGGTAATTCTATTTACTCGTGTTTTAAATAAACGATCAAATCCAATGCCTCTCCCTAATGTATTTATCCAACTAAATTTTAAACTCCCCAAAGGGTTTTTAGCGTCAAAAACTCTTACTATGAAAGACCTTTTTTTTCCAAAAATTTCCCTATTACAAACCTAGCTACAGCATTTTATGTATGTTTGTAAGAATACAGACAATATGCAAAGTAAAAGAACACATTTGCAACTAAAGTTACATTTCATAAAGTGTGACATTAGTTGCCTTTTGTCCTTGTGTTTTTCATAAGAACATAAGAAAGGAGGAACACTGCAGCAGGCCTTTTGGGCCCATACTAGGCAGGTCCTTTACAATTCATACCCACTAACAAACATTTGACCAACCCAATTTTCAATGCTCCCCAAAGAAATAAGCTCTGAGGGTTCAAGTCCCCACTCAAACCAAACCCTCCCACTCATGTATTTATCCAACCTAGCGAATCTACAGAAACGCTTTCGCTGACCAGAGGACCTTCTACAACGTCTTCACCCCTCCTACAGTGGATGTAAGAGGCCTTCCCACCATGTTCTCCCTGTCTTGGTAAGTTATTTCTTGTTGGATTTTGTTTGGTACACTTTTTGCTCTCTCCCTAAAAGCTTGCACCGTGTACCCAAGGTACAATGTTTCCCCCACAGACATTTACTACACAAGTTTTAAGGTGTTTCTTGTGTGTAATGTTTCGTCCACAAGGAAGGAAGGGTTCACTGTACCTAACCTAACCCAACCTGGAGTTGGCTTGTTTTAATGTCTCGTCCACAAGGAAGGAAGGGATCACTGAACCTAACCAACCTACCCTTGCGACAGCTGACTGAGCAACCAGGAGCCCCTTGCCCTAGGGTCTTGACCTGTCTGGCACTTCTTCCCAAAACCTAACCTCCTCCCAGAGGCAACCTGTGGGTTTGGGGAGTGATGGTTGCGACAGGTCTATTATACAATTTTTTTACAGTGTCCCTTTAGTTGCCCATCCTGGTAAGACCTTTCAGTGAGTCGGCTTGACAAACTTTTGTCCCTGATGCCCAATTCCCAGGATAGCACATTGTTGGAAGGATTACCACAAACTCACCTGTCAGAATTACTACGGGGGAAAGGGCTCCTAGTTTTGTGACCTGTCTCACTTCGTAAAATATAGCAGCTTGTGGAGTGCAAAAAAAAATTCTCTAATGCACAATTCCCAATTTACAAACGAATACCTGACACGTTGGGTTCTTGGGTTAGGTCCTTGGGAGACATGGACCTGTCTCACAAAGAACCAGTAGGCCTGCAGCAGTGTTCCTTCTTTTTTATGTTCACAAGTATTTTTTATTCTGTCGCTTCAGATTAGAGTGTAGATCCTAGTATCCCATCTCCTAGTAACCTATCTCCACAGGATATTCAAAAATAAGTGAATCATCCATGTATTTCCAACTTTAAATTTATTCCGACTATGGAACTGAACTTCTCCAATCTCAAATCAAGGGTGATGGACTGATTACATCGTCTTCATATCTCTACTGTTCCTGCCTACTTTCTGTATTCGACTGAAGAAGCCTACTGTGAAGGCGATACGTTTCGGAATAAAGTTGCCTAACTGTTGCCTGTGTATTACCTACCAACCTCTCAGTATTGTATACCAGACACTGCAACACAATGGCATCTTAGTACAGAAAAACCCTTGTATTTGAGTGGCTCTTGCAAATGATGGATAGAGTTATCAGACCTTATTTTTTAGGGAGCATTGAAAATTGGATTTGGCAAATGCTTTGTTATTGGGTGGATTGTAAAGGACCTGCCGAGTATGACCCAACAGGCCTGCTGCAGTGATCCTCCTTTTATGTTCTTATGTTCTTATGGAAAAAGGGTAGTAGATGAGTGGAACAGTCTACCTAGTTGGTTATTGAGGCTAGGACTTTGGGTAGTTTCAAAATTTTGGTTGGGTAAATACATGAGTGGGATGGGTTGGATTTGAGTGGGACTTGCACATCAGAGCTTATTTTTTGGTAGCATTGAAAATTGGTAGTCAAATGTTTGTTAGTGGGATGAATTGTAAAGGACCTGCCTAGTATGGGCCAACAGGCCTGCCCGCAGTGTTCCTCCTTCTTATGTTCTTATGTTCATTAAAGGAACGAATGCTAGTCTTTATTTTCTTCTGTTAAGTCAGGTGCCTTTTTAATTTAAATATCAGGTGATGATTTAAATATTAGGTGAATGTGCTTATAAACGAAGAACTGTTACTGAAGGCTCATTTGGAAATTCTTGCCTTTGTTTCAAACGTCGTTGCCAAGTTCTTCAAGATGGATAGTCAATTTCAGAGGTTCGTTGTCTTGGACGAGAAGAAGAGCATCAATTTGAATGTCGAAAGAAAAAGCTAAATGCTATGGAAGATTATGAAATTTGCCTTGCAAGATATGGACTAATTAGAAATACTCTCAAGAAAGTTATATTTGCAGAAAAAAAATTGCACTTCTGTTAACGTTTTCCCCAAAAAACTTCTACTTTTGGGAGAAAGTCTTCGAGATGTGGCACAAACACAATTCACAATATTTATGGATTCTTGATTGATACTTCATCATTCTCGATATGAAATACAGAAACAATGATCAAATGTATCAAAGCATGATGTCAGTTTGTATTCATTAATATTGATAACCGACACAAAGCTTTTAGTGACAAGATTTTCTCATTAAAAAGTCTCATTAATGACGTCTTTGAATTTTCCAAGTATTTTGCCAATAAATCTAATATTATTAGTATCAGAGCATTGTAGCAGGCCTAGTGGCCCACGAGAGGAAGACCTAGTCACTTTCTGTCTAATGCCATTGACTCTACTTAGTCAGTTACAGCTCATATCCACTAAAACAAGGAGCACAGAATCTGACCTACAATCTTGTATTTATCTAACAAATTTTCAAAACTACACAGTGTTTTAGCTTCATTGATGATACAGCACTTAGATCATTTAAAAGAGATCTGTAAAAAAAAGGAAAAAATATACTATAGCAAAACCACAAAAGAGAAACATGAGAACTTGAGGTGGAACACTGCAGTAGGCCTGTTGGCCCATACTAAGAACATAAGAAAGGAAGAACAGTGCAGGAGGCCTGTTGGCCTATACTAGGCAGGTCCTTTACAATTCATGCAGTGTTCCTTCTTTTTTATGTTCACAAGTATTTTCTATTCTGTCGCTTCAGATTAGAGTGTAGATCCTAGTATCCTATCTCCTAGTAACCTATCTCCACAGGATATTCATAAAATAAGTGAATCATCCATGTATTTCCAACTTTAAATTTATTCCTGACTATGGAACTGAACTTCTCCAATCTCAAATCAAGGGTGATGGACTGATTACATCGTCTTCATATCTCTACTGTTCCTGCCTACTTTCTGTATTCGACTGAAGAAGCCTACTGTGAAGGCGATACGTTTCGGAATAAAGTTGCCTAACTGTTGCCTGTGAGTCTTACCTACCAACCTCTCAGTATTGTATACCAGACACTGCAACACAATGGCATCTTAGTACAGAAAACACCTCTTGTATTTGAGTGGCTCTTGCAAATGAGTGGATAGAGTTATCAGACCTTATTTTTTAGGGAGCATTGAAAATTGGATTTGGCAAATGCTTTGTTAGTGGGATGGATTGTAAAGGACCTGCCGAGTATGACCCAACAGGCCTGCTGCAGTGATCCTCCTTTCTTATGTTCTTATGTTCTTATGGAAATAGGGTAGTAGATGAGTGGAACAGTCTACCTAGTTGGGTTATTGAGGCTAGGACTTTGGGTAGTTTCAAATTTAGGTTGGGTAAATACATGAGTGGGATGGGTTGGATTTGAGTGGGACTTGCACATCAGAGCTTATTTCTTGGGTAGCATTGAAAATTGGGTAGGTCAAATGTTTGTTAGTGGGATGAATTGTAAAGGACCTCGGGATCTTAGTGGGACCTGCCACTAATGTAAGTAGGTCATCGTCCAAAGGTTTGGGCAAGCGTTGAAGTCTTTGTACCAAGATTCCATGATGTTGCAGTGTCTGACAGATGTGATGAATGGTTTTGAAAACCGACAAGTTGAAGAATTGAGACACTTATGCAACACATGGGAATCTTTATTGAAGAAAACGTTTCGCCACACAGTGGCTTCATCAGTCCAATACAAAGTAGAAATGGGTAAGGAGAGTAGAAGTATGTAAAGGACCTGCCTAGTATGGGCCAACAGGCCTGCTGCAGTGTTCCTCCTTTCTTATGTTCTTATGTTCATTAAAGGAACGAATGCTAGTCTTTATTTTCTTCTGTTAAGTCAGGTGCCTTTTGAAGTAACTGTCAGGTGATGATAAGTATTAGCTAAAATTCATGGATTTTCAAACTTCTTTATCAGAATTGCTAGAAGTGCTCTAAATGCTCGAAATCGCCGAAATATGCGGCAAAACATCATTTTACCATATTTTTCGATTTTTTCAATGCTTCAGCTATTTCATATATATCAAGCATTTCATGTATTTCATATATATTTTAAAAATACCAAAAGCATTGAAAAAATCGAAAAATATGGTTTTACTGCATATTTCGACGATTTGGAGGATTTTGAGCACTTTTCACACAAACCTTTCTTTTTAGCTAAAATACATGGATTTTCACACTTGAAATATATATTGACTCAATACTACACTAAAATATCATATTTAAGTTACTTTCAGCATAAAATTCAATTCCATCAGCAATTCTGATAAAAAAATTTGAAAATCCATGAATTTTAGCTAAAATATCAGGTTTGTCTGAAAAGTGTTCTAAATGCTAAAAATCGTCGAAATATGCAGTAAAACATCATTTTTCCATATTTTTCGATTTTTTCAATGCTTTTGGTATTTTTAAAAAATATATGAAATATATGAAATGCTTGAAATATATGAAATAGCTGAAGCATTGAAAAAATCGAAAAATATGGTAAAATGATGTTTTACTGCATATTTCGACGATTTTTAGCATTTAGAACACTTTTCAGACAAACCTGATATTTTAGCTAAAATTCATGGATTTTCAAACTTTTTTATCAGAATTGCTGATGGAATTGAATTTTATGCTGAAAGTAACTTAAATATGATATTTTAGTGTAGTATTGAGTCAATATATATTTCAAGTGTGAAAATCCATGTATTTTAGCTAAAAAGAAAGGTTTGTGTGAAAAGTGCTCAAAATCCTCCAAATCGTCGAAATATGCAGTAAAACATCATTTTACCATATTTTTCGATTTTTTCAATGCTTTTGGTATTTTTAAAAAATACATGAAATGTATGAAATGCTTGAAATATATGAAATAGCTGAAGCATTGAAAAAATCGAAAAATAGGGTAAAATGATGTTTTACTGCATATTTCGACGATTTTTAGCATTTACAACACTTTTCAGACAAACCTGATATTTTACCTAAAATTCATGGATTTTCAAACTTTTTTATCAGAATTGCTAGAAGTACCTTGGGTACACGGTGCAAGCTGTAGGGAGAGAGCAAAAAAGTGTACAACAAATCCAACAAGAAATAACTATACCAAGACAGGAGAACATGGTGGGAAGGCCTCTCTACA